GAATCTCGTGAGGTGGGATCGTGGATGCACACTGCTGAGGAGTCCCACAATAGAATGAAATGGCCATCGATTACTTCCAGATTTTCCATAGTTGTCTAGCTTCAACTGACTCATGATCTCAACTATTGAAATTACTACATTCTTCACAAAACCCCTTCTGATAATAAGAATCAGTATAAATCAAACTAAATTTTAATTCATAGAAACTCTTATTACTTCGTAATTGTTTCAGTTTACATACAGTGAGTTGACCTTAACAGTATAAAACCACTGGAAATGATTTTTAAAAATATACAAAATATCCAACAGAGTACACTCAACTATTCCCCGTTTTTTTCAAACAGATACTTCTAGTTAGATTATTAAAGTACATTTCATTACCGATAGAATTAAGAACTAGCATCATAAGAAATCAATACTAGGCGAAAAACGTGACAAGTTCTTGTTTATATATATATATATATTTTAAAAGGAATTTATTGGTTAATTTGTAACCATTTGACTAGCGTGCATAAAATAGTAAAATCTAATTGTCAGTAGTTGTAAACAAACAACAGAAATGTCCCATATTATACACAATATTTTCAAGATTCAATAAGTATGCTAAATTCAACACTTTCAGCCCTTATTCCATTAGTTTATTAGTTGAGTCCTTCATATCACAGTGTAGTTTTTAATAAAGACTTCATTTCAAGTTCAAACATTCACTGTATATGTTCTTTATCCAGTATGTTAGTTCATATGTACCATATTGATATGTTTGTCTGTAACAATTACGGATACTTACAGATATTTCTTAACATTATGTCTAAGCAAGTTACTTATATGAGTAGTATAATCTTTAGTTGTGACAAGTACAACGAATTTATATTCTGAACGACATTTTAACTTTTATTTACTTATATAGTATAGAAATGTAATGAACCATAAAAACGATGGTTATTATAATAGCTATTCACCAATGAATATACTACAATATTTCATTTAATTTATCTCATCCAATCAATAAACCAAGAAATCACAATAGCCATATATCTCCCTGATTGTCTTGTCACGATCATCTAATAAATTTTTGCTACCATCAAATGTTACACATTCGTTATCAATCCAGTCAAAAGTAATAAATTTAACTGAAATTTATTTCTTGTAGCTCTGAAATATGATAGGCATAAGGCTAACTTAGAGAGGAAGAATGTATCTGTAGAATCTCAGCGAAAGAATTTGAAGTAGATCCAACGTTTCGCCTGGCAATCTGGTCCAAGCTTTTTCAAGGAAAATATAATCAAACAACAAAATTATCGAATATGATTAGGTACATGATTCTCTGGTTTACTGTATACTGAATATGTCATCCAATCAACGTTAACAATGACTCACATTAACTCGGCGCCCAAATATTGTGAAACTATTCGTTCAAATTTAAACGAAAGTTCTTATTTATAAGTCTAACTTGTTATTTATTTTAAACGGAAATTTATTTACTTCTGGTTCTCTAACTTTGAATGAGAAAACATTGTTGGTGGAGTTCAACCATGTCAAATATGAAACAAATGTCACTAATTATGAATAATTAATTTTCACTCTATCGTAAATTAACTAAAGTTAGAAATATAAACCATTGAAAGTTAACTCAATAATCTCAAGGTTAAGCTTTTGCTCAGAGGCTTGTAGGTCCTTATTTCTATTCATGATGGGGTCATAATTTCTTGATATTGACTATGAGATGTCGACTTCATCATACAATGGTTTTTAGAAGCCTATTAATTCTACAAAACCGAATAATAACAAAATATTGTTATCATAACTCAATAATGTGTTTGTACGTTTTTTAAATCAATAGGTTAAGGTCTCTTGTTTCATTAAGATCACTCAGATTTATATATAAGTAGGCATAGTCAAGTGAAGAGTGTAAGATAGAAGAAGATGTATATTTTCTTCCTACTTTCAAGTACAAAATTTTGTTTCAGTTTTTTACTGAAATCTGCTATAACCTTAGAAAAACTAATGTTGTATAGGAGATAAGCAGTTCCATGAGAACTTAGCTAAGTATCTCCGAGAAGATTGAACATTAATATCTATATGTTAAATTGCCTTTTAGAATAGATATCTGTAGAGACAATAATAACCACAAGATTCAACCATTTTACTAGCATTTTGAAAACAATCAATCAGAATATTGAAAATCTGCACGGAAAACTTAACCAATGTATACTGTTGACTTAGAATACAAACAGCTAACACTGTTCATATATCTACAAAGTATGTAAATAGGATTAGTAACCATTTGTCAATAAACCATGTCAAATATATAATGTCTTGTTAACTACCCTTGTCGATCCACTATACAGGACATCGCTAGTCACATTCCTTTTGAGTTTCAGTTTTAGGAATAAAGTTTTCTTACGAGCAATCAACATTTTTCAATTTTTTTCTTTGCATGCATGTACTTATTTAAGAAACTTCACCAATAGCCTATTTCCCTTCAGTATGTCGTTAATAAACTTTAACCGCTTCTTCACGGTATCCTTTAAGCAGACCTCTTCTTGCTTTATTTTCAAGAGATGTGACCAGATTCCTTTTGTAGAGAATAGATGTAAAACTATAGAATTGTCTGTATCAACACCTAGAAGAGCTCTTTTAATACACAATAATAATAGCATGCAGTGATAAGATATAACTGCTTTGAGATGTGAAACTATTCTTTTGAATCGATAATACACAAGTTGTTAATGTTACCTACCAATAGTGTTCACTTTGACTAAACCATAGAGAAATAATGATTTAACATGAAAAATCTTTTAAAAAAGAAAAGAACCGAGACGGACTTAAGTAGTAAAAATCCTTTTATTAATTGAGATCATGAATCGATTGAAGCTAGGCAACTATGGAAAATCTGGAAGTACAGGACAGACGTTTCACTCTAATACGGAACGCTTCAGCAGTGCGCATCCACGATCCCACCTCACGAGATTCAAAATCAGGACCCATCAGTCTCGCACGCGAACGCTTAACCTCTACACCACTGAGTCGGCCGGCATCCAACAGTGTTAATATCTAACTTCAACTAATCCACAAAATTGAGTGACATATCCACCATTGTCTTCAGTGAGTTAATATCTATCTCACAACACATCTGGTTAAACTCGAGTTGTTACTACTTCTCGCCAGAACTCTAGGAAACACCTCTTGAAGCCAGTTACTGGTGAGCATATATTGATGAATATCAGAAGGTGGATTTTGTGTAGATTTTAGTAAGTTTATAGCTGGATTCATAGGTCTTGGGTTCGAATCTTGCGAGACGGAATCATTGGCACACACTACTGAGTAGTCCCAAAATAAGATGAAACAACTGTCCAGTGCTTCCAGGTTTTCCATGATTGTCTAACTTCAACTGACACATGATCTCAACTATTCAGATTACTATAATATCCACAAAATCCCCTTTTCAGAAATCCTTTTGTTTATCATTATGTTATTGGTTGAATATAGATGAAGTAAGTAGTATATAACGATAAACTAATCATTTCTTGATTCCTTCTTTTCTTTTTCGAATCATCTTATTTTAGCACACATTCACTTCTACTATTAAATTAATATTGTTTTTTTTCTATATGTTTTAATTGTAAATAGTAATATGATCATATCTGTAAATAAATTACATTTGCGCGTTCCTTACTTTTGTTTCCAAATATAATTGATTATTCAATGATTGACATACTGTATTGGCTTTGTTATATCAATTCTATTAATTTCCAATTATTCTATTCATTTCTCTTTTAAGTGTATCTAATAGTGAACAGTAACTGATAAAAATAGGCAAACGAATGAAATTATTATGATTAAAGATAAAATGTAACATTTCCTCCACTAGTTAGGCTCAAATATTAGTAGTACGAATTGCTGTGAAATTGTTTCTTCCTAATTCATTAGTTAATTGGTCTGGTTTCGAAACTCGTGGAGCGGGATTGTAGAAGCGTACTATTGAGAAGTCGTATACTAAGACGAAACGGCCGTCCAGTGCTTTCAGGTTTTCAATGGTGGTTTAGCTTCAATTGACTCATGAATTCAACGATAAAATTACTGAAATCTCCAAAAAATCCCTCTTCTGATAATTATCCTCATATGCTTAATAGTGACCGGTTTCAAAAGGTATTTCCTGGAATTCTAGTGAGTAGCAGTGATAATTGAAGTCCAACCACGTCTTTTGTGAGGTAGTAACTCACTGGAGACAAGGGTGGTTGTGTCACTCAATTTCGTGGATTAGTTGAAATTAGATATTAACACGATTGGATGCCAGCCGACTCACTGGTGTAGAGGTTAAGCGTTCGCGCGCGAAACTGATAGGTCCTGGGTTCGATTACTGCGGGACGAAATCGTGGAGGACGAATCAGCCGTTCAGTATTTTCAGGTTTTCCATGGTTTTCTAACTTCAAATTACTCATGAATTCAATTATGAAATGACTAAAATCTCTACAAAACCCCCTTTTCTGATAATAATTTGTTTTCTGTCAAAAAACAAAAAAACGCACACACACACAACAACAACAAGGAAATAAAGTTTAACTATTATAATTAATCCAAAAAAAAATGTGAAAATAAATTTTATTTCTTAAAAGTATTAATGACTTAATGTGATTTAAGTAGAAAAATATGAACTTGACACTATAAAAAAAGAAGCAACGACAACGACGACAACAACAGCAACCAACATATAAATGAAATTCCAGTCACTTTCATGTATGATATAAGGAAGAACTAAACTAATGATACTACCATCATATATGCTTATATGTTATAAAATCTCTTTGAAGTGATAACATCATATACACAGCTTCAGAGAATTTTAATTAGCTTCTTCTTTCTATTGACTGACCAAAATATTGAAGAATAGGTAAACAAGAAGTAAAATAGTAATCAGGATTGTATTAAGACGAGAAATTATATCAAATAACTAATTCACTATGATCATTTCTGATATTTGAATTAAGTTTATTAATAATTTAAACAATTGGTTCTTCAATATATAATATTCCATTACTAAATTTAGCAGTGAGACTTTCTGGATCAATATTATCCGGAATATCGTATTCTTTAGAAAATTCTCTTACAGAAGTACGATTTGGAGCTCGTTCTTCATGACGTGCTTTAATATAAATGCGACGATTCAAAGTTTTAATTTGTATTTCTCCCGGTGAATATTCTGAATCAATTGGTAGTTCTAAACGAAATCTATGTTTTCGTTGTTGTTGTTGTAGTTGAATTGAAGAAGAAGGATGACGACTTTGATAGTCTTGTTGATCACGTGATATAATATCATAATCTGAATGTGAAGAACGTGAAGAATAATTAGATTTAGGTGATTTCAAGTCGATTTTTCTGGAATATTGTTGTTGTGGTTTTATAATTGGTGATCGATAATGATGACGATAATATTGATGATGATTATTCCAAAATGAATCTGATAAATTTTCAGAATATAGTGATTGTAAATTTGTTGATGATGAAAATGATGGTGGTTTCATAGGACAACTAACAGTTAATACACCATTAAGTGATAAAACAGCAGAAAGTTTTTCATCATCTACACCTGGAGGTAAATTTAATGAATGAGTATATTCACGAAAAGATGATATAGAATTATTATTTGTATTATTTGTATTTATAGTTGTATTAAGACTGTTAGTAGAATGATTATGTTCAGTTTTAGCTACTACCATTAATTTACCATCACGTACAAATACTTTAAGTAATTCTGGATCATAACCAGAAAGATTAAAATTTGCTACAAAATGTACACTTCCATCTGGAAATTGTTCATAACCACTTGATGAAGGATTTTTTGATATAATATCATGTGAATTTGGAGAATTTATTGTTTCTCTACTACTAAATATATCATTTGAACTTTTTAATCGACTAGGTAATAACATATCATTATTCAATAATTTAAATTCTTCATTCCATCGTCTACGACGTTCTTCCATTCTACGTTTCATATCATCATATAGATAATCTACATCGTTATATCTTGTAGGATCAGCAGAAGTTGTACGTAAACGTTTATTCCATGGGATATCATGTGAAATATAATCATTACTTGATGTATGATGACTACGTGAATCCCAATTATTTATATTATTACTATTATTATATTTCCAATTGTCATTTAATGTTAACATTGAATTATCATCAAATGTAAAGTAATCATCATTGATTATTGATTTATTATTTCGTTCAACAGGTATACGTAATTCTGTTCGATAATTGGTCATTACTTGTTTGGATTAATTTATTACTTAATTATTATGGTAATAATGTTCATTAAGTGTTATATCCTGAATATGAAAATTATAATAATCACCATAGAAATTAGATAAATATCATGACAAGTTCATTTCACTTCATGAATACAATATGACAGATTCAAGTGATAATCATAAATAAGTAGTATAATCACTAAATAAATGATAATAAACTTATGATAAATGTAAAGATGGAAAAATTATATGGATAGAATCATCTGTTCATTTATCGCTCAGTTTATGGTACACACTATGCATGAATACATTTAACACTATACAATATGTCCCATTTAGAGTTAAAATAACTTTTGTAACCAATCACAATGATAAACTATTGCTTTTATTCTATGATATGTCTATCTATCAAAATATTTAGTATCTAAACACATATGAAATAGGTGACTTTTATGTGTGTGCTATTGTGACGATTCATTTGTTATGTAACCAAATCTATAAAGTACTATTATTGTAATTATAAGAAATAGACATTTTAACCAGGTAATTTCATCATTTCGCCCACCACTACCTTTCAAAATGTAAAAAAGTTGTAATTTTCTTCTTCTTTTTGTTTTCTTTTTGTAAATAGACCCAGTTAACAAGATAATTAAAAAAATTGTCATTGATAGTTTTATGCAATGTGACTAGATGTTTTGGAATAAAATAGTAAAATGATGTCAGTCAGTCAGTCAGTCAGTAACAACGTAGAACTTCGTACGTACGTAAATCAGTTCGAGTTGCCATACCACATTAGCACAGAGATGCAGTTGTCGACTCAAATTCTGTAGTGGTAGAGGTAGTAAGAGTATAAGCAGTAATTGGAAATATTAGGGCTTGAAGATGTTATTCAATGAGTATCATCCAGTGAAATAAATTTGGAAAGAGATAAAATAAAGGAACATGAAGAATTCAGAAAATTAGAATTTGGGAGAACACAAAGAGTAGATGATGAAACATTGTAAAGATCTTTACATGATGAGGAAATGATAAAATGAAAATGGTCAGTATGGAAAGATAATCCTTAGGATGTTTGAACACGATGAATATGGATATCGAAGTCAAATCGTTTTAATAAAACTGTACTCATATATGTGTATGATGATGTTTATACGAGGTCACTTCGTATTTGTGCTTATTATTATTATTATCATTATTATCAAACTAACACCTTCAACAAGCGAAAGAAATTATCTTATACTAATTAGGAACACTGAGTAAAAGTAGACAACCATTTATTATTTGATTATATAATCCGGTTTAAGGAAAAGCCTATTGCAGTTGTTTCGATTTGATCATGAGAGATTTCGAATTTTCATCACAGACTGATTTTAGTTAGACATCCATCGAAAATCTGGCGAATTGTTCGAAGTTGGACACACAAATCATTGACTTCCAGCTAATTTGTCTAATGGTTAGGCATTCACGCGTTGGATCTAGTCGTAGGTGTGCGTTAGTGAGGTGCTCTTTACAGAGATAAAACATCTACCTAGTACTTGATCTGCTTTGTGATAAAACTTCGATAACTGGTCAATTGTTTTGGATCTCTTGATACTCCAACAAAAAAATCCTCTATCATGAATTAAATTTGTAACTAACTATTATCACAAAACATAAAAATCAATATTTGATCGATTAATCTACGTGAAGTAATCACAAGATAAGTGGTTACTGAAAAACACTCATAACAAAACCTTTCAAAGAAAAACTGTTCTTTTTTATACTTTTACAAGATTACCATGGAAAATATTCACCTGAACTATTTACTTTGGTTGATTTTTCCATGAAATCATTTTATTCAATCATGTTAATTCCTTGGTGAGATTAGAATTTATGGTCGACCTTTGAGTGACGCTAGACTGACCATGAGAGTGTTCACCTGATAACTAGGACCAAATTGGCGTTATAAATTAGTGTGAGGAATTAGAATTACGATTTACGGTTGATGACTAGGGTTATAAATTAGATTTCGGGTTTTCATCACGAAGTGACATAAGCTATAATGCCACAATTCTATTTATCCAGATGGATGAGTAAATTGCGCGCGAATATCCGAGACCTGTTATCTTATACCTGATTGGTTCGTCCATAAATTATAGTCTCTCTAATCCATTTTATCATGATAATCTTTAATTAAATAATTTAAAGAAAAGTTTACTAAATATTGACTATTCCAATCTAGTTAGTTTGTATATCATCAATAATGTAACCTAATTTGATTATTCTGTTTTGATCCTTTAAAGATAGTTTTTTATCAAATGTATTTGTGATGAACGTTTTATACAAGTTTAATTTTCGAATAGAAACGTTAAATTCATTCGGTAAACAATACCAAATGAATTTAAACTTCACCCCATTCCACAAGCAAGTGCCTATTGGTTCTCAGTAGTAGTTAAATGGATAACGCGATGACGGCTGAAGCGAACGGTACTGGATTCGAGTCCAAGAGTGAACAACTCTGAAACGCAGCACATCCATCTGACGATTCCCGAATAGAACGAAACGCGCATCATGGATTCCACTGATAGCTACTATCCATTTTTGCTTAGAAACGTTAAATGTTTTCATTTTCATTATTTCGATCTAAATTGATCATTATTTTGTAAAGGCGATGGTACAATGTCAAGCCCATAGAGGTTATTCCAAACTCTGGACACAGATCAATCTATTCATTTTTCTCAAGTTATATTTTCACCCTGTCACTTATTCGCTTATCAACTTCGGCTATTGTTTTATGTAAGCGTATGTGTTTTTTTTAAAAAATCTTACTCATTATATGTTTATAACTTCTTTTTGTCTGACTATAAATATCAATTCATGCTTGGTTAAATAGAGTTGGCTAATATACCTTCGCCGGCCTGTTTCGTTTCCTTCGCTCCATTTCTCAGATTGTCTGTTCTGATCAACAATTTTACAAAATATACACATTCAAAGCTTCATTCTCGTATCCGTTATTCACTAACGCAAGCTAAGTCTATAATTATATACGAGGATTGACGATATGTATAAGACAATAACAACAATCACACGATCCAATTGGAGTCAGATATTCGAGGGGCTGCTGAAATTCCACTTACTGTGAATAAATGAATTCATTATATAATGGTATTTCTCTCGCAAAAAGTCAATATATCGGTTATAAACTACTAATTGTTATGAATTTCGGATGTATTCGTCCGCAACGTTTCCACGTAAACCTAATGTATCGCCCAGTGTCACATCTGCGTTCAGGTAATCATAGAACTTGTCATTGTATAATGTATTTTTTTATTAAATAACTGGACATTTAGAGTCCCATGCGGCAGCAACACATATTTTAGCCAAAAAAGAAACTAACTTCGATTTTCCATATCTGAAAAAATACTCAAAGCAAAACAGTTTAAAATTTTATAATATAAGACTAGCCAGCTTGCCTGAAGAAGTACGTCAACTTGAGTAGCAGCAGCAAAAACCCAGAAAACAATGCTGAATATAAGAAAATTTGCGCCAAAATTTAGAGTATTACAATAACTGCGGCATTTTAGCACATTGAAGCATTAAATTATGTGGCTACACAAAAGAAATAACTGAAAAAACACAGAACAAGGAAAGCCAACTACCATTGCTTACAAAGATGGCGGATGTAATAATTCCCACCTCATTCTGATTAATCGCTAAACAGACAGACATGTTAACGAGATCGAGTTGCGTTTAATTGTAGCCTGAATTTCTCATTTAAATCTGTAAATTATAAGTTAATTCATTACATTTTCCATATTGTGGTATAATGTGCACGGAAAGATAAAACAAATCTATTTCTGTTTTCCATTAATCACTTTTACATTAGGATATTATCATTCTTTAGTATATAATATCCTTTTGTATCATTAGTTATATTATATGTGAGTAGTCAACCAATGTATTTTACCAATGCATACTGTTCATGTCAATGTCTAGTGGAGCATGAGAATTAATTAGTATTCATTTTAGGTTTTATCAACAAACAAAAACTAAACATAAATAGTCATTCATTGATGAATAATATTTTGTTGGTCAATTCATTTCACATAGTATTAATGGAGTTTTACTTCGAACTAGTGATGACTTTACCGTTAATTCGTAAGTTCTACTCCATTATTTAGTATTGACCAGTGTTTATCTGTTGAGTATCGAAATATTCGCGAGTAAACTGGGTCCACTGGTCATTGATATAATAAACAATCAATGTAGAACAGAATTAAAAGGTGCGAAATCCCAATAGTACCTTACATTCCTTAAAGGTAATAAATATTATTTGGTTTTAATCGACAATAAGAATGAACATGTGATGGGAAATCTACCTTTAAATTGCCTTGAACCATTTAATTTTGAAGACTTTATGAACAGTTAGAAGCCGACTCATTGACTTAAAATGTAACGTACTTTCAGTGAAGTCTAAAGGCTTCAAGTTCGATCCCTTATTGAATCATAATGAATCATTAGGAGTTTCATACTCAGATGAAATAACTTTTCATTTCTCCTTGGTTTTCATTGGTTACCTAGTTAGGACCAGTCCATGACACAGACCACAAATCAAACAGTTTCAACAAAACTTCCATGCTAGCAACTGTGATTTTGCGACAGATATGGCCAATCAAAACTAGTTGTAATGAGGACAATTGAAACTAAAATGAAGTCTTCGACATTTATAATCGTAACTATTGACTTTAATAGTGCTGACTCGATATTCAATCGGCTGAACTACAAGATGTAACTGCAAAGCACACCTAAATTTAAGTTCAAATACCAAGTGTTTTAATTTATCGTTGACTGAATTAGAAATATACTACTTTGTGTAAGTCTCTGTTTTGCTAGATTTTTGGAACTAGTCAAAACTAAACAAATTTAGGTATTTATAACAAATGACTGGTATCCAATACATATTCTCGGATAAACTTTCGTTTGTGGCGAAAAGCATCTCTTAATTAATCTAGCAGTTTACTAGATTGAAAACCGAT